AAAAAAAAAAAAAAAAAAAAGATAAAGGTCCAATTTCATTCTTTTGCATGTGGATATCCAGTCTTCCCAGCACCATTTGTCAAAGATACTATCTTTTCCCCATAATGTAGTCCTGGTACCCTCTTGAAGGTCATTTGACTGTATATATAAGTTTCTTTCTGGGCTCTTCATTCTGTTCCTCTGGTCCATATGTCCGTCTTTATGCCAGTACCATACTGTTTTCATTAATGTAGCCTTGTAATATAGTTTAAAGTCAGGACTATGAAGCTTCTACCTTGAAGGTCTTTTGTGGTTCCTTATTAATTATTGATTTTTTTCCCATTTCTGTAAAAAAATATCATTGAGGGTTTGAAATGGATTACTCTAAATTTGCAGATCACTTTGGGTAGTATGGATATATATATATTTTTAATTCTTTATTTCCTATCGCTTTTAGCAAAAGTATGGATATTTTTAACAATGTTAAGTCTTCTAACCCATGAGCATGGGATGTCTTTCTGTTGACTAGTCCTTTATTTTTAAAGACATAGGTCGACTAACTAATGTCAAAGATTACAATGAATTATATTGAGAAAAGGTTTATTGATTTTTTTCAATAAATGGTACTAAGTCAATTGGATATCATGTGAATAAAATGAAATATGACCCCCTACCTAACACTACACATAGAAAGTACTTTCCAGATGGGTGGTAGCTTTAAATGGGGAAGGTACATAAAATAAACCTTTTTTTTTTGAGATGGAGTGTTGCTCTGTTACAAGGCCAGAGTGCAGTGTCACGATCTCAGCTCACTGCAACCTTTGCCTCCCAGGTTCAAGTGATTCTCCTGTCTCAGTTGCCTGAGTAGCTGGGACTACAGGTGTCCAGCACCACACCCAGCTATTTTTTTGTATTTTTAGTAAAGATGGAGTTTCACCATGTTGGCCAGAATGGTCTTGATCTCTTGACCTCGTGATCCACCTGCCTCAGCCCCCCAAAGTGTTGGGATTACAGGCGTGAGCCACTGTGCCTAGACAATAAACCTTTTAGAATAAAAACAAAAGAATATTTTGGGACGTGGAATAGGCACAGTTTCTTAACAGGAATATAAAAGGTGCTAATACTAAAGAAAAAGAAAATGGTAAATTATACTACATTAAAATTAAGAATATCTCATAACACCAAAAGCATTGGCAACAAAAGCCAAAATAGACAAATGGGACCTAATTAAACTCCACAGCTTCTGTACAGCAAAAGAAACAATCATTAGAGTGAATTGACAACCAACAGAATGGGAAAAAAATTTTGCAATCTACCCATCTGACAAAGGGTTAATATCCAGAATCTACAAAGAACTAAAACAGATTTACAAGAAGAAAACAAACAAACCCATCCCAAAGTGGGCATAGGATATAAACAGACATATATGTCTTCTTTTCAAAAGAAGACATATATGAGGCCAACAAACATATGAAAAAATGCTCATCATCACTGATTATTAGAGAAATGCAAATCGAAACCACATTGATATACCACCTCATGCCAGTTAGAATGGTGATCATTTAAAAATCTGGAGACAACAGATGCTGGAGAGGATGTGGAGAAATAGGAACACTTTTACACTGTTGGTGGGAGTGTAAATTAGTTCAACCATTGTGGAAGACAGTGTGGCACTTCCTCAAGGACCTAGAAATAGAAATTCCATTTAACCCAGCAATCCCATTACTGGGTATATACCCAAAGGATTATAAATCATTCTATTATAAAGACACATGCACATGTATGTTCATAGTGGCACTGTTTACAATAGCAAAGACCTGGAACCAACCCAAATGCCCAACAATGATACACTGGACAAGGAAAATATGGCACATATACACCATGGAATACGATGCAGCCATAAAAAACGATGAGTTTGTGTCCTTTGTAGGGATATGGATGAATCTGGAAACCATCATTCTCAGCAAACTGACACAGAACAGAAAATCAAACACCACATATTCTCACTCATAGGCAGGTGTTGAACAGTGAGAACACATGGACACAGGGAGAGGAACATCACACACTGGGGTCTGTTGTGGGGGGCCAAGGGAGGGACAGCACGGGGATGGGGAGGTCGGGGAAGGATAACATGGGGAGACATGCCAGATGTAGGTGACAGGGGGATGAAGGCTGCTGCCATGTGTGTACATATGAAACAATCCTGCATGATCAGCACATGTACCCCAGAACCTAAAGTACAATAATAAAAGTATATTTATATATATATCTCATCAAAAACCACCGTTAAGAGAGTGATATGGTTTGGATCTGTGTCCCCACCCAAATCTCGTGTTGAGCTGTAATCCACAGTGTTGGAGGTAGGGCCTGGTGCAAAGTGATTGGATCATGGGGGTGGTTCCTTCATGAATGGCTTAACACCATCCCCTTGGGGTTGTTCTAGTGATAGAGTTCTCATGAGATCTAGTTGTTTAAAAGTGTGTGGCACCTCCCCTTTTCTCTCTCTTCTTCCTACTCTGGCCTTGTGAAGTGCCAGCTCCCTCTTTGCCCTCCATCATGATTGCAAGTTTCCTGAGGCCTCCCTAGAGGTTTTTTGAGGCCTCCCCAGAATCCGAGCAGATGCCAACATCATGCTCCCTGTGCCAACATCATGCTTCCTGTACAGCCTGTAGAACTGTGAGCCAATTAAACCTCTTTTCTTTATAAACTACCCTGTTTCAAGTATTTCTTTATAGCAGTGTGAGAATGGACTAATACAGACAGTGAGATTAGCCATAGGGTAGATTATTTGAGGGTTCATATCTAGAAATCAACACATCAGTAAGAAAAAGCAGACAATCCAATAAGAAAAAAATGGGTAAAAGTCTTAACCAAGCTTTCATAAAAGAGGCTGTCCTAAAAGCCAACAGACATGAAAAGGTGTTCAGTTTCATTAGTCATCAGGGAAACACAGATTAAAACTTGAATAAGTTCCACTCACGTAAATCAGAATGGCTATGATTTAAAAGACAGGTAATACCAAATGTTGGCAGGAATATAAAGCAGCTGAACACTCCCACACTTCTTAGTTTGTGTATAGTTTGGTACAACCATTTTAGAAAATCATTTGGCACTATATAGTAAAACTAAACACACGCAAACTGATAACCCAGCATTTCTACTCAGATATATACCCCACAGAAAATGCACATACATACAGTTATCAGAAATTTGTATAAAATTTCATGGTAGTATTATTAGTAATAGCCAACAACTGGATGTAACTTACATCCATCAACAGAAGAATGGTTAATAAATAAATGTATTTTTCATACCATGGAGTTCTATACAACAACAGAAATGAACAAGCTATTGCTGTACACAACAATATAGCATACCTATTGTATTATGCCATTCATACAAAATAGGTAAAACTAACAGACAAGAGTAATCTATAGTGGTGGAAGTTACAACAGTGGTTACGTTTAGTATCATTCATTTATTATTTTTGTAAAATTAAGATCATATACAATTTTGCATTCTGCTTTTTTCACTTCACATTTTGAGCATTTCCCCATATCATTAAATATTCCTTGAAACTATAATTTTAAGGGCTATTTAACATTTCATCATAATTTAGACATACTAGTAGACATAGTATTTTTAAAGGATAAATTGATAGCATAAAATTGATATTAGTAGAATTTTAACCATAATTACAAATAAATTGTTGTTGGTTACCTTTCTGTATATGGTCTTAAGTAATGGGTTTAAAGATTCCTTCCTTATGCTTAGTCTGAAATTCCACGACTGTTTAATAGGTGTAGGTAATGACAGTATTTCTCCACTTTCTCCAAACCAACGCTTTCCCTATCAAAAATATTTAAGTACAGTAATTAAATATTTTACTAAGAAAGTCACATACTAGCCAGTGTTCTAACTTGTTAGCTGCTGCACTTGCCTCTTCTAGTTTAAGCAGGCGATTTTCCATTTTGTTGCAGGTTTTTTTATATATTTCTGGCTTTCTCTGAATATAGAATCCTTCATCTTCTAAAATACGTGGCATCATATCTTTTGGCAGTTTGCGCTGGTTGACCACTTAATAACAATGAAACTTAGATATCAAAGTCCAAAATGTTAAATGGATATTGACCAAATAAGTAGTACAAACGACTATAATTACACTCTACTACTAAAGTCTAGCAAAAAGCCTCTCTCTCGCTTTCTCTGTCTCTCTCTCTGCATATATATGTACATTTTTTAAATGGAGAATGGGTTCTCTTAATCAATTCCCTTAATTTAGGAAAATAATGAAAAACAAATATAGAAAAGTTACTATAATTTTAGATCAGTACTTTTTATTTATCTGGCATACAGAAAAGCTATTATTCCATAACATAATTCATTAATGACTTGAATATTTTACTGGAAAAGAATATTACCTGGAGAACTACTTGGTACAAAAATATTTGCCTTCTGTTTTTTTATTTGTTCTTGATCATCTTCATATTCAGCAGCTTTTACTTTGACTAAATCTGTCAAAATGAATTCTTTGATAAACTCTTCATCTTCACTCTCATCAACATTTTGTAAATTACCACCAAGTGAAAAGCATTTGGGATAATTATGGTTTACTGGTCTCTGTTGAATACCAAAAAGGAAAATAAGTTTTCACACTTGTCTTCAATGATTAACATGCAAATAAATAAAATGTACTGGAACCTTACTGTGAACTGTGCTTCTGATCCTGTCACTCACAGACCAAGTTCCAGCTGAAATTGTGTTACAATGAAATTTCACTGAACTTAAAACTCATTTAGTATACAATATGATTTTTCTACAGCCCATCTTAACAATTCTTCACTGAAAGACTGATAAGAGCTGAAATAGCTCTTCCTCCCCTATGGAAAATGTTCTGAGATAATGAACTGTAATATTTCAACTACTGAGAATACACAGTATAGGGCAGGATCCAAAGATACCAGACCATGTGATCCTAAAACCCCTTTTTCCCCATCATTGAGAAAACAGTACCACCTAAAGCGCTGTAGAGTAGGCATGCTGTTTTCTACAAGGTATTCATGAAAAAAAAAGAAAGATGAAGGAAAAGTAAAGATTCAGCATAGAAGTCTGGCAGAGTGATTACAGTGAAATTTTGAAAGATGATATTGATAAAGGTTATAAACAATCTGAACATAGATGTGGAAAGTTACATTATTAAATATTAAAATGAATCTATCATACTCATAAATTTAATATGAGTCAATTCGTGAAAGTAAAATCATTATTTTGAATTATTTTACCTGTCTAGTTTGAAATATACACATATTGAACAACAGAGACAGTATGTGAGTCACACAAAAATCCCTTGATTCTCAAAAACATACATTTAGGGTAAATAATAAAATTTTTAAAAGTTAATCACATAATTCCTTTGACTAGAGACTCCTACATGGCCTTGATCAACAATGACAAAGTTAAATAAGTAAGGTCACTAGACATCAACTAGGTTCATATAAAATACCATCATACCCTTAAATGGGAAAAAAAAAAAAAAAAAAAAAAAAAAACCATCATACCCTCCCTCCTATATCCCTGTCAGGAAATCAGGATAATATTTTATATCCACAAATCTTTGTGATATTTTTTTCAGAATTAAAATAAAGAATACCAACACCTAGGAGCAAGATTTGGGGGATCTCCAAGTGGGAGCTCTCTTTGAAGATTCCAGTCATAGACTACAAAGGCCTCTTTGCTCCAACTGGAGCTCCCATGACCAAGCTTCTTTTATAACGGCCGTGGTTTGGGCCAGGGTTTTCCACCTGCCTTCAGAGCTAAGGTCTGCCCTCACTGTATAGTATGTCGGGCTCTCATCTTGGACTCTAGCCTCTGAGATATGACCCTATGGGTCTTTTTTTATGAGCCCTACCCAATCTGCCTATATTTTTAGCTTGAGACAAGCTGTGATCTGGACCAATGCAAGTCCTACCTACTCAACTATTCCTCACTTAGTCTAAGTCCAGCTGCTATCCCAGATCACTTTCTTCGTCTTCACTGTGCAGCTCACAGAAGAGCAATGTGTGTGCTGTTTGCTATTATGTGACAGGGAGAATGGGGTCGGAAGATATAAGTCTAGATGGATACAAGTGAATATTGTGCAGTAAAAAAGGGATGGTGTCCTCTGTCCCTTCTCACAGGAACAACCTTGTTCACTGTGGTGTGGCAAGCAGAAGTTTCTGAAAGTAACCCTACGCCTCACTCTGAGTTGCCCAGATGAGTTATTTGAAACCAGGGATCCCCTTTCTCCCAGCAGGAAGGGGCCACATTCAAACTCAGCCTCCTACAAAAGGAGTAGCTTTCTCCTTTATGTAATGGGGACACTAGTCACCAGCTTCGGGGAGACAGCTTTTCCAAACAACTCCTCTAAATAGCTCACATCTAAACCCTGACTTCCTCATGCCCAAGAAGCCCATTTGCCCAACCCTTTACTCCTAATGCCTTAATATCTTTATGCTTGCCCTGAGAGAAGGAAGAGTGGCCATAGCCACAGCACCTGGCCCTGGCATACTCTGCTAGATGGGAGGATCAGAGACAGGGCCTGCTTTTGTTTTTCCAGAAAAGCCTATTCCTTAACCCAAACTGTGGGATGCTGGGAAGTCAGATGACTAATTAAGATCACAGGAATGTTTGATACCCATTTCATCAATAGTCATTCAAATATACATTGTGTGCCTAATATATTCCAGAAGGAAAATAAACAGACAAAGAAATATATGTTAATTGGTGATAAGTGTTATGAAGAAAAATAAAGCAGGGTGAGAGGACAGGAAATGCTGGGCTGGGTAGATTGGGGGTACCATTTTAGATAGGGTTGTCTGGCATAGGATCTTTAATAATATGTCATTTGAAGAGAAATCCAAAGTTAGTGGGGACAGAGCTTAAGGATAAGGAAAGAGCTTTCCAGGCAGTCACCTCGGTACAAAGGCCCTGAGGCAGAGCTTGCTATAAATGAGAACCAGGAAGGAAGCCAATGTGGCTGGTGTGAGACGAGAGAGGGGAGAGTAGTGAAAAATAAAGTCAGAGGGGTACTTTATTTTACAGAGAAGGACCCTGTAAGCACTTTCATTGTGAGTGAGACAGGAAACCATTAGAAGGTGTAAGCAAAAAAAATGATCTTAGATTTTAACAGGATCACTGTAATATCTGTATGGTATGGAAAATGGACTACAAGGACAATAATGAACACAGAGAGAGACGGTGGCAATGATTCTGATGAGAGGCTATAGTGAAGTACCAGAGAGGGTGGTGAAAAGTGGGTCCAATTTGGGAATACTTTGAAGGCAGAACCAACAGGATTTGTGAGAAACTGGATTTAAAGCATGTGAGTAAATGGGAGTCTAAGGATGATACCAGGGTTCAAATGAGCAATTGAACAAATGGAATTGCCATTTACTACTATGATTCTGTTTATATAAAACTCTGTGTGGCCAGGTGTGGTGGTTCACACCTGTAATCCCAGCACTTTGGGAGGCTGAGGTGGGTGGATCACCTGAGGTTAGGAGTTTGAGACCATCCTGGCCAACATGGCAAAACCCCTTCTTTACTAAAAACACAAAAATTAGCCAGGTGTAGTGGCACACACCTGTAATCTCAGCTACTGGGGAGACTGAGGCAGGAGAATTGATTGAACCCAGGAGACAGATGTTGCAGTGAGCCAAGATCACACCACAGCACTCCACCTGGGCAGCAAAGCAAGACTCCCTCTCAAAAAGAAAAAAAAAAACCCTGGTGGCTGGGAAGATGGTCGAATAGAAACACCTCCCATCTGCAGCTCCCAGAGAAACCAATGCAAAGAAAAGAAGGCAGGTAATTTCTGCATTTCCAACTGAGGTACCCAGCTCATTTCATCTGGACTTGTTAGATACCGGGTGCAGCCAATGGAGGGTGAGCAGAAGCAGGGTGGGGCGTCTCCTCACCCATAAAGCACAAGGGGTTGGGGAACTCTCTCCCCTAACTAGCCTAGGGAAGCCGTGAGGGACAGTGCTATGAGGAATGGTGCACTCCGACCCAGATACTATGTGTTTCCCACTGTCTCCACAACCCGCAGACCAGAAGATTCCCTCAGGCACCTATGCTACCAGGGCCCTGGGTTTCAAGCACAAAACTGGGCAGCTGTTTAGGCAGACACCGAGCTAGCTGCAGGAGTTTTCTGGTAGACCCCAGTGGTGCCTGGAATGCCAGTAAGACAGAACAGTTCACTCCCCTGGAAAGGGGGCTGAAGTCAGGGAGCCACATGGTCTATCTCAGCAGATCCCACCCCCATGGAGCCCAGCAAGCTAAGATTCACTGGCTTGAAATTCTTGCTGCCAGCACAGCAGTCTGAAGTCAACCTGGGAAAACTCCAGTGTGGTGGGGGGAGGGGTGTCCACCATTACTGAGGCTTGAGTAGGCAGTTTTCCCCTAACAATGTAAACAAAGCCACCAGGGAGTTAGAACCGGGCAGAGCCCAACACAGCTCTGCAAAGCCACTGTAGCCAGACTGCCTTCCTACATTCTTCCTCTCCAGGAAGGGCATCTCTGAAAGAAAGGCAGCAGCCCCAGTCAGGGGCTTATAGATAAAACTCTCATCTCCTCAGGACAGAACACCAGGGGAAGGGGCAGCTGTGGGCACAGCTTCAGCAGACTTAAACTTTCCTGCCTGCCAGCTCTGAAGAGAGCAGCAGATCTCCCAGCACAGGGCTCAAGCTCTGCTAAGGGACCGACTGACTCCTCAAGTGGGTCCCTGAGCCCCATGCCTCCTGACTAGGAGATACCTCCCAGCGGGGGTCAACAAACAACTCATACAGGAGAGCTCTGGCTGGCATTTGGTGGATGCCCCTCTGTGACAAAACTTCCAGAGGAAGGAACAAGCAGCAATCTTTGCTGTTCTGCAGCCTCTGCTGGTGACACTCAGGCAAACAGGGTCTGGAGTGGACCTCCATCAAACTCCAGCAGACTTGCAGCAGAGGAGCCTGACTGTTAGAAAGAAAACTAACAAATAGAAAGGAATAGCATCAGTATCAACAAAAAGGACATCCACTCAAAAACACCATCCAAAGGTCACCAATATCAAAGACCAAAGGTAGATAAATCCACCAAAATTAGGAAAAAAAAGCACAAAAATGCTGAAAATTCCAAAATCCAGATGCCTCTTCTCCTCCAAAGGATCACAACTCCTCACCAACAAGGGAACAAAACTAGATGGAGAATGAGTTTGACAAAATGCAGAAGTAGCCTTCAGAAAGTGGGTAATATCAAACTTCTCTGAGCTAAAGGAGTGTGTTCTAACCGAATGCAAGGAAGCTAAGAACCTTGAAAAAGGTTAGAGGAATTGCTAACTAGAATAACCAGTTTAGAGAAGAACACAAATGACCTGATGGAACTGAAAAACACAGCAGAACTTTGTGAAGCATACACAAGTACCAGTAGCTGAATCAACTAAGTGGAAGAAAGGATATCAGAGATTGAAGGTCAACTTAATGAAATAAAGCATGAAGACAAGATTGGAGAAAAAAGAATAAACAAACAAAGCCTCCAAGAAATATGGGACTAAATTCAGACAATACAGAGAACACCACAAAGATACTCCTCAAGAAGACCAA